GCCCTGGCCGTGTGTGGGACACAATCTGCATCTCCAGCCTCGCTTTAATCTGTAATTCATCGGCATAAACGTGAGGCTCTTTTGCATGTGACGTTCCGCGGGAAGATGCCCAATAAGCGGGAGCGGGTGTGGTCTCCCTCCCACGGTAGTGTGCATGGAGAAGTGGAGCTACTTTCAGCACCCTGGAGAATTCCTCCATCCGACGCTGATCAGTTACACTCATGAACACATAGAAGGAATTAAGCCTAACATTACATATATAGCTACAGGCAAAATATGTTTCCTTTTTCAAATATTTCTCAAGGGATTTGAGCAAGGAATTTTCCACAATATTTCCTCTAATATTTTTTCTTCTTATTTGAGAAAGACTTATTTGTTTTTGGCTAGAACAAAGGCAGTTTTTAATTGTTTTAAAGCCATTTTAAGCTCAATATTATTAGCCCCCTTAAGCAATATTAGTTTTGGATTGTCTCCAGAATCAGGGGTTCCCAAAGTTTTCAGCCTGTGACCCCCAAATTGACAATGCCAGTGACTCGCGACCCCCAATATCCTCTGAGGTGGTTATAAATACAGAATCCTTCGCACACACACCAATAGACCTATACGTATGTTCTTGGTTTAATGATTTTTAATGTATATCAGTGCTGTAAATAGTCCAGAAAGTTTATGTTAAAAAATCAATCTGCTGCATCTGACGCTATTGCTGTGTCTTTAATATAATGCAACTACCACAGGGGTCGCAATCCAATAGAACTAGTAAGCTAGTATATAGTATATAGTAACTAAAAGCAACAATTGTTTCCTCAGTAGGTTAAAATATGGTAATTCTTATTGTTTAATAAAAATAAATAAATTTTGGAGATCACCAGGCGACCCGCCTTCATTGTCCCGCGACCCCTTGAGAGGTCCCGACCCCCCACATTGAGAACCACTGGAATAGACCACTGTTCTACAATGACTTGCCTAATTACCCTAACTTTACCCTAATTACCCTAATTAGTGAAGCCTTTAAAAGTCACATTAAGCTGAATACTAGTGTCTTGAAGAATATCTAGTCTAGCTGTATACATACGAAAACACAAGTTAGCAACATCCAGCAGCATAACAAGCTGTTTTTCTATGGCTAAAAATCAATGGAAGTGAATGAGGCTGGAAGTCTCGAGCCAATAGGGTTCAATGGTTCAATGGCTGTGCTGTTCTTAAGTGAAAGAATAAGGTCAATATTATGGTTGGAAAACATTAGCTTAAACGTTAATCCTCCTCACTGCAGTGCTCAGATCAAACCACAGTTCACTCTACACTGAACACCAGTTAAACATCAACACATGCGGTCACACACACACACACACACACACACACACTGATCTTCATCTGAAGGTGGTCTTGTATCGTCATGCATGCTTTATTAGAGTTTCCATTGAAAGTGACCTTTACTGTCTGCGTCTCTGAATAGGCTTCGAGTGTGAATTGTGATGTGAACATCCGTGTGTGTGTGTGTGTGTGTGTGTGTGTGGCAGACGTGCTCTGGCCTTGTACTGTCTAGCAGGTTTGAAACTAATTAAGGTCTTTGATTAGGTAGTTGACATGCCATTTTAATGTCGTGAGTGGAAAAAAACTGTTCTTTTTATTTCTTCATTATATTTCAGTGCACTGAATAAAATGTTGAGTAACCCAGCGCTGGGTCAAAACCAACCATTGGGTTAAAAAGTGTCATTTAAACTGAATTGTAAATATCAACCCAATGTTTAGTTTGATGATTTATTCATTCATTTTCCTTCAGCTCAGTCATTTATTTATCAGGGGTCGCCACAGCGGAATGAACCGCCAATTATTCCAGCATATGTTTTACACAGCGGATGCCCTCCTAGCTGCAATCCAGTACTAGGAAACACCCATACACACTTACACTCATACAATACGCCCAATTTAGTTGATCAGTTCCCCTATAGCGCATGTGTTTGGACTTTGGGGGAAACCGGAGCACCCAGAGAAAACCCACACTAACACGGGGAGAACATGCAAACTCCACACAGAGACGCCAACTGACCCAGCCGGGACTCAAACCAGTGAACTTCTTGCTGTGAAGCCACAGTGCTAACCATAGAGACACCATTCTTGGCAGCTATTGGCTGAATTGGTGTGATTTTTGTATGGAGATGACTCAATAAAACTTCTAAACTGAACTTCAACTCTGAAAACTGGACTGACACAGTCTCAATTTACCAGAACGTCTGTGTTCAGCTGCTGTGACGAAATCTACACTGTAAAGGCGCTATAGAAATAAAGATGAATTGAGCAGAATTGTTCTTTTTCTCCTTGTTCAATACCTGCTAATGATCCCATTTCACTCAGCGTCTCCCTCCATATGCACGTCCAGTTCATTACACACACCGCTGCTCCAGATATTATGTTGGTAAATCATGCATGCGTCTTCACATTTCAATAACAGTAGGAAACTCAGAGAGACTGTAAATCAGCGGGCTTGTAATCTTGATGAGTGTGTTTGGATGCACTTGAACAAATACTCTCACACACACACACACCTGCAGTTTTCAGAGGAGAGAGGGTCTTTTGTGCGGTTCTGTCATTGCTAAAGAGGAAAAAAAAACAAAATATGGCTGTTTATGGTTTTGCTTTACACCCGCAGGGCAGCACGGTGGCACAGTGGGTAGCACGATCGCCCCACAGCAACAAGGCTGCTGGTTCGAGTCCCGGTTGGGTCAGTTGGCGTTTATGTGTGTTTGCATGTTCTCCCCATGTTGGCATGGGTTTCCTCCAGGTGACTTGCCTAATTACCCTAACTTTACCCTAATTACCCTTGTGAAGCCTTTACATGTCACTTGAAGCTGAATATTAGAGTCTTGAAGAATATCTAGACTAATGTTATGTGCTGTCATCATGGAGAAGAGGAAATAATGACACTGAAATTAAACTTTTTCTGAAAACTGATTAAAGAAACAGGCTCTTTGTGAAAACGTACCCCTGTATACTTTTCTGGAGAGTGTGAATTATGTACCCAGAGGTACCTATGGCTGCATTTTGTCTTTAAAACAAATGCTACGGGGGCGGTATGACGCCGCAGATGGCTTCTGCTTCTTTTCACTCTATCAGCTGACAGCTTACCTCCATGAGGGCGGCTTTACCGCTGCTACCAGCTGTAACCGTACGTCAACAAACTTGAGATGCAGAGAGAAGTTGATCGTGACTGGGTTGGAGTCTGGATCTCTTTTAAAAACACTGTTGGTTGGGTTTAGGGAAAGAGAGTGGTGGGAATCGCCGAAGAGCGGTTACTCACTGAAGCAGGGCTGAGCCTGGTCAGTATCAGGATGGGAGAGCACACGGGAACACTAGGTTGCTGTTGGAAGAGATGTTAGTGAGGCCAGCAGGGGGCGCTCAACCTGCGGTCTGTGTGTGTCCTAATGCCCCATTATAGTGAAGGGGACACTATACTGTCAGTGAGTGCCGTCTTTCAGATGAGATGTTAAACCGAGGTCCTGACTCTCTGTGCTCATTAATAATCCCGCATCATCCAAGTGGAGCAGCACGCTGGTGGTGGAGTGGAGAGACCGCCCTCAGGATTGTGAAGTGCTTTGGGTGTATGGCCATGCACAATAGATGCGCTATATAAATACACATTACATTCAGAAGATGTCCATTACATGGCATTCTGATTTTGGGCTGAAATATTTTGATTTTAAGCCTTGAGCGGTCTAGTGAGGCAAGAAAACCTCCGTCTGACTGCTCAGGAATTGTTCCTCACATGGCATGAAGAAACTCCAGCATTCTGTCAGAGAAGCGGAAAGCTAACGCTAGCGCTGACCTTTCCTTGTGTGCTCACTCACCTGCCCACCATGACCTTTTGAACAAAACATATTGATCTGATGTCTGCACTGAGAATCCGTCGCTAATATTCTATGAATAGCTTTGTTTCATGTTGCACACGGATCTTTCCTAGACGGCTGAAGACACCAGAAATGCAGTATGAAAACTTGTGAACACTTAATGACTGTATGTGTGTGTGTGTGTGTGTGTGTGTGTGTGTGTGTGTTGCCTGGGAAACGAGCGGGACTTTACTGTCTGGAAAGGCAGAAGGTTGTATTTTCCTCCATATAGATGAACTCTGAAGCTCTTCTTTGGAGATGTCTCCTTCTTTCTTCGCGGCTGAATGGCAGATTAAGCGCGAGGCTAGGGTTCAGGCTGATCTCTGTGTACACACTGCCACTTAATCACAGCCATTACATCCACATTGATTGCAGGTTTGTGTGCGCGTCACTGCCTTCACTGCAGTTCAGAGAGTGTGTGTGTCTTGTTTCTCCCACACTTTTTCCTCTTCGGTGGGAATTCTGGAATTTATATCCATTTTTGACACATCTTTTACATTCTAAAGCTTTTGTCCAATAGAAATATCTTTAATTTAATGACTCAATATGCAAACATTTGGGCTGAAAACACTGTTCTTTCTGTGGCTATTATTTTCACCTGTCCTGTGATTTTATCCGAGTCTCTTGCCATTTCTAGGAAACATCTGAAGATGCATCTGCTTCATCATTACTCATTTGTTTCATTTTCCAACAACAGCGCTCCCTATTTATTTGCACCTAACACTTTCTTATAAACATGGTG